AACATAAAATCTCACATTCCACCTACAATTAAATTCAATTAATGTTCACACTTCACAAATTTATAATACAAATTGTAAATTGTAAAAAGCAACTTATTGATTCAGCCAACAATAATTACATTAAGCTTCTATTTAAAAGGGAGAGTGTATTTTTAAAGTCACATCTTCTTGTAGGATAGAGACAACCGGAGCTTTTATAATATTAACTAATAAATGCATTCATTTTATTTGTATTCATGAATTTAATTGATTGCAACTTTTAAAATGGGTTCTTAACTCTTGAATGTTTTTACGTCTCCTCTCATTCAGTTGATAAAATATTCACCAGAATCCAAAATAATTTCCTAAAGTTGTTTGTTTTGTTTTACCAGCTGTCAGAAAACCCCTGAAGGTGTTTCACTCTTTGGTTTTATGAAACTGAAAAGATTTTATTAACTTTATTTTTTTCACCAGATTACATTTAAGCATCTGTGACCCACAGCGTTATATTTTATGTATTAAAGGAAGAGTCTGCTCCTGTTTCTGTTTATTAACAGTAAAGAAATGAAGTCTTGTTATAATTAGTCTGAGAAACAGACAAGCTTTCGTTTATTTTAGACACTCACCGTCTCAATAGTCTTGTTTACTGTTTTCTCCCATTTTGGATGAAACCCTGGAGGCAGCTCAGTGTCTATTACATGTGTATTTTGTGCATGGCTGTGTTGCAGTGGGATCCAGACTCTCCTGGATTTCCTTTTTCTGAAGCTGAGTTTATACAGCGAAGAGCATTGTTAACCTTATTATTATAGTCGCCACCGTAAGGGATCGGGGCCAACATATAATTGCAGTTCAAATCATCCGAATGGTTGTCCTAATGTTAATAATACGAGACAAACGGCACGCTGAAATCAAATAAAAATGTGAGATTGGTGCTTCATCCTGCTTCGTTGTACTTGTCCTCGGACCCCCTCGGAGGCTTACGGTTGTTTATTTCTTCATTTTGGGTCCAGGAGTACAACATTCACGGCTGGTGGGTCGGAGAGCTGAACGGCACTGTGGGCATCGTCCCGAAGGACTTCCTGCACCCTGCCTACATCCTCTGAGCTCCAACAGGTACCGAGGCACTCTCTTATCATCAGCATTATGGACCATTACTGTGGCCTAATACACAGAAACGGTCCCCCTGGTACTCATCCAGATTGCCACTGAGGTATATGCAGTCGTTGACCTGCCATTTATGGCATCTGCTGGCTGGAAGAAGTACTGCATGAAGCAATCTGAGCGGTGCAGTGGGCAACGGGTGGGAATAAATATGTGCACCAAAAGCATGATTACAGCGCCAGTTGTCCTATTTAAGAAAATGATTCCCTAATACTGTTAGATAGGCAAGAGCTTAAAATGAATTCTGAATTATTAATGCGTGCGTGTGTTTCTTTTTCTTCTCCAGCGTTGCTGCTGACACCTCCGGCCGTGGATTTCACAGACACAGTCAGATGATTCTGATTATTCTGTAAATTATATCACGTAAATCTGCTGCTGTGGTACTTAATCCTGCAGGCTGTAAACCTATAAACCTATGCAAACCAGATCTACAATTAACAATTAAATAGATTAATCAGTTAATCGACAGAAACTGAATAATCGATGATCCATTCATATTTAAAGTAAAAAGCTTCTTGAATATGAGAATTTGTTGCTTTTCTCTGTTTTATATAATTGAATTTATATAAATTTAATATATTTTGGTTTTTGGACAGAAAAGTAATCTGAAGACGTCACTTTAAGTTCTGGTGAATTTTAACATTTTAAAAATGTTTTATAGACAAAACAACTGATTAATTCATAAGAAAAATAACAATCATTAATGAAAGTAATTGTTATTTGCAGCCTTTGTGCAGATTCATTAACTATTGTGGACTAATACATTTATCAGTTCACAGTATGTAGATGTGTGTTATTTTCTTGTTTCACCATGTTATGTAAAATATTTTAAACTACATTATATCAGGAGTTTATTACAAAAATTCCCAAAATAGCAACTTTGTGTAATTATTCAGTTAAAACTCAGTTTGTTTATTAATCTTGTTTCATTTTCAGCCACTAGGTGGCAGTGTTGCTCCAATGTCTAGTCTTTAAACCCCTGAGATGTGTTTGGTAATAACATTGTATTATATATAACATTAATAATGTGAAAGCACTGAAATAAACACATGTAACACAGTAAAGAAGAAAAACTATTTATTTGAAATAAAATTAGATTGTAGTTTGTTGTGTATTTACATGGACACAGAAACTCAGGATGTTTTATCATTGCCCTTGTAGATCCATGTTATAAAATAAAAGGTCTCCTTAAAAAGGGGGGGCTTTTGCGTCTGAACATTTTAAAAAAAACTTTTAAAAAGCAAAAAAGAAAAAGAAACTATTCATTTACAGTGTAGAAAGAAAGCAAAAGCCAGCACTCCACAATCCACCTGCGAGGTCCCGGTACGTCTGCGGCAGCGGCACAATAAAACTCTGGGTCCCTTTTATTATTTAAAAACAAAATGAATCACAAGCAGTAGTGTGTGAAAGCAACGTGGAGGTCAAACTGCAGCCAGCTTACACAAGGAGTCAAAGGTTGTAGTTAGTTATTGTGTTTTTTTAAGTGTTAGTGTTTGTAAAGAACAGAACAGGTCACAGAAACGACAATGTCAAGATCACAAGACTGAAACTGTGTGTGTCCATTACAGAGAGGCTGCAAACTCAATAACTCTTCTACTGTACTCGGATTTCTTATCGTAATAAAGTTCTTGTTGGGCTAAATACTTGTTATTTTCCCTCTCTGATCCACTATTCTGAGAATAAATACCCGGTTAACACTGCAGCCTATAAAACATTGTGTGTGTAAACTCACTACATGTTGACCCAACAGGTTACCAACCAGGTTTAGCGACTACGTTAGTAAGTTACATTATATATCAGCATTAAACTTACATGATCATGATCCAGTAGTACACAGTTGTTGACATAAATAGTACAGTGATTTTTTTTAAAATGGGTTTCACATTAAGTGAGGCTGTAAATCAGAACAGGAAAGCTGTGTGTGATTATTCCAGTGACTTTAAAGGATAGATCTTCTCAAGTCTGTCTTAAAACGATACCAACATGCCCGTATTATACAATCCATGTAGTTGTTCCTGCTGTGCGTACAGAGATCCCTTCCTAAGTGATCAAACAGACACATAACCTAGAGTCTTTAAAGTTTAACTACAGTTCATTTCATCATCTACCAAAGTCTTATTTGTTCTGAATTCCCTCTCTCTCGCCGTCACAGCTCAGCAAGGAAACACCGACAGAAACTGGTAGTAAACAGTAACCTCATTTGTCCGACTCACATCTATTGAGGCCTCTTTTAGCTTCAGCTGGACTTCAGAAAGCATTTTTAGATGCAGTGTGTGTTTTTTAAAATCTCATCAGGAAGGTATCTCTCGTTCAAAGAACATACAGACACACAAATGTTAATCTAGACTAGAAAATGTGAATCTAACCTTTAATTCAAGTGTATACCACTGTCATAATCTGTCGTTATTGAACCACAATCCCATTAAAATGTACGTTTTGTCCGTTTCACTCGACAATAAAACCTTTAAGCTCTTTATATATATGGATAAAATCAACCCTAAGATGCATGTTTCCTTTTGTGAACGTGAGCGCCCTCTGCTGTTCCCAAAAAGGCAAACATCATCCACAGCAGAGGAGTCAGTTAGAGACTGTGTTTGGTGTACCTGAGTGTGAATGAAGGTATTCAATTTAAAATTAAACATACCAAAAAAGCGTAATATGGTTGGCAGACACCAGATTATTCGCATTGTGAAGACGCTATATAATGCGCAGATATTTTGAAATGCCACTCAGCACCTTGTGTACGTGCGCTGTGATGAAATATGTCTTTAACAGGCAGCAACTCCTGAATTAACCCCATTCAGTTGTTTAACTAATGCACCTCCACCTCATGAGTTTCCTCCGTGGCGTCCAAAGACAGCGAGGACAGCGTTTCCTGCTCCGTGCATTAACTGTCGGCTAATCCGGGCGAGCAGCTCGTCTCTAAGATGCTGAAGTCGCTGTTTTCAGTCAAATCTGCCGCAGTTAGGGCCGAGTTAAGGTCCAACGATTTACTCAAGTCACTGATCTCCGCCGTGTATTCCAGGTCCTCATCCTCCCGGGTGGGAATGCCGTCTTTTTCCACGGTGCATCCGTTCATGTGAAGGTCCAGAATGTTTATACTGGAGGCGTCTACGTCCGACCAGAGAGCGACCTCCTCAGGAGACGTCTTCACGTAGCCGTTGGCATCCAGGATCGAGTCCTCGGCCTCGTCACAGACGCTCTCATCATCGCTGACCTTGACGATGCTGTCGTTGGAAGATGGCAGTGAGTGGCTGTCCTCGTCGCTCTCGTCTTTGTTCCCGACCAAATCCACGTCTTCTTCAACTCGCTTTTGGTCCTTTTGTTCAGTGTCACCGCCAACACTTTGCACATCGGCGGTCTCTTCGTGGATTTGTGACGCGAGTGGCGTCTCCACTTCGCTCTCCGATTCTGAACTTTTGTTGTCTGGCTCTTTTGAGTTCTTAAGCTCCTCCGTACAGCTGACGTCTGCAGCGTGACCCTCAGTGCCGTCAGCATGCTCAACACCATTAACCTCAGAGATGATACGGTTTTCTAAAACCTGCTTCACAGAGCAGACCTCTTCCACAACTTCATCTTGAGATCTGGCGTCACTGTCTTTAAAATCTAAAACTGCTACAGAATTCAGTGTTTCCGGCTCAGAATTGTTTATATTTGCGTCTTCAGAACTTTCCTGTTGATCAGCGTTCTCCTCAACGGCCTTTTCTTCTGCATCTAAAGTCCCAACGCTCTCCTCTTTAACCGAACACACCTCCTCAAACACGCCGTCCACGCCACAGACCTCCTCGAAGCCAGTCCCCATGGGCGAGTGCACCTCCACCGGTGTCTGTATCCGGCAGCTCCTCTGCTGCGTCGGCTCTGCGAGGCTCAGGCTCTCACGGTCGTCCTGGCTGTCACCTAGCAAAAAGCTGGCCTCTGTGGGGCCGCAGTCCTCAACGACAGCCTCTAGATGGTTGTTCTTCTGGACGAGCCTTACAGCGGTATCCTTATCACAGAGCTGCTGTAGATCTTCTAGAGGGTCAGAGTCGCTACATGCCACAAGCTCAGGGCTGAAGGTCTCTTTAGGTTGTAGGCAGGGTTGGTGAGGAGCTGGACTGTGGAGCGAGAAAGAGAAAACATTTACTTCACTGGGAATTTCCACAGAACAGGAAGTAAAACTGGCTCTCTCCAACGGTAAACTACACCGGCTGTACGAGCACCTTTAGTACCTAATAATTATAAGGTTTTATCTTTGTTTAATCTGTGAAACTAGGAAGAGCACAAACAAGAAGTTGTGGTTTTACAGGTATCTATTCTTTGACAGGTGATCCTGAGAAAGTCACAGTAGCTGTTGCTAAGCTAAGATAACTGGTAGCTCCACATTTTTTCTATCCAACTCACCTCTTGTTTTAATTCAGTACATATAAAAAGATGTTCATATGAGGGAATATTTGCATCCAGTTCCAAATATCTGAATGAATTAATGGTTCAGTTCGTCATTCAAACCTACAATAAGCTATTTTCTTTTTAAGATTAACTCCTAATATTACCTCTCCATGGACTCGTACGAAACGGTCAAACTTGGCTCCTTGATGGAGTCGTCCTCCTGAGCCTGAGCGAAGCCCAGATTGGACGAGGCGTAGGTGAGGATGGCGTCCGTCACGGAGTAGGGAGTGTGGCCCTGAACGCAGTCCTCGATGTGACCGACTGGCAGCTGGGTCTGCAGGAAGAGGTGGAGCTGGCTGTCTGACAGACATACTGTCATGTGCACCACTCTGCCAGGACAAAGGTACAAAAGATTAGCTTTGGTATCGAGGTAGCTTGCATTACAAAACTGTAAGTAGAACAAGAACTGACTTGTCCAAGAAGGCCTGAAGTCCTTTTCTTCTCGACTCTAAGAAGTCCTCATTGCTGAAGGAGAAGAAGGACTTTCCTGGAAGGTCTGGGACCGGACTGGAGGGAAGAAAACAGGCAAAAAGGCTTCATTATGCATGTGTGTGGCTTATAGCATATTTGCTTCCATGTAGGTGAAAGGATGAGCAGCTTTAAAGAAGCATTCATTGATTTTTCTGGGTTACAACAAACTCGTTAACACAAGAGTGATGTATGATCACCTAATAAAGTTGGGTTAGGGCAGACAGTTGCCTATTTACACATGATTATTCATTTGGAGTTTCTGGTCAGCTGATGAACGTAAATTCAATATTCTCTCTCATTTTAGCTCCGTTTTGGTTTCCACCAACTCCTGAGAGAAATATCTGTCTGTCTGTCTGTCTGTCTGTCTGTGTCTGTGTCTGCCTGTCTCT